CCCCCAAAAAAAAATATTTAAGTTTGTTTTTAAAAAATGTTTTCAATTTCAAAAATTATTTTCTACTCTAGTAAAAATAAAAGATATTTCTCCAAAATATTTTTCATTCATAAATCAAACACTAAAAATTTTTTCCGAAAAATATTTTCTAATCACCAACCAAACATGAGAAAATAAGTCAAAAATCAACTTGTTTTCCAGGAAAACATTTTCCTTCATACCAAACACACCCTTAATTATTTCTTCCATTTTATTTTACTGGATATATACTACTACTAAAATAGATTATTTTTTTAAATTGGTTATTTTAATAAATAAATCAATCAAACAGAAATTTGTTGTTTTTTCTTCATACTCTCGTTATTATTAAATGACTACATAAAATAATTATAATTAAATTTAGAATTATAGAATATCATTAATTTAATAAAATATACTTTCAATAAAATTTTAAGAATTGTGCCAAGTCAGCAATAGCCCTTAGAATTAAATACACAAATTATACTCCTTTGTAAAGATGCCAGAGTGAGGAGCAAGTGATCAAAATAGTGTTGGATTTTTGGAGGTGGTATGAATGGAAAATGAAAGAATTTAAAATGGTGGTGAGGGAGAGCAAGACTCGTATGCTTATATATAGAAATTCATTCTAACTGGTTGAGAAACGAGACTCCTTTTGTGTTATTATCATCGTTCAATTTTGGATTTTAATTTAATGAAATCATTGATTGTTAGATTTTTCGGTTATTTTTTTGACAAATATCGTTCCAAAAAGTGCGTCCAGACACAGTTTCACGAAAAGCTACCAACCAAAAAGTTCTATCTCTTCGGTTGAAACTCAACATTTGGTTATAAATATACACCCTTCTTTAAGCTTTTTCACTACGAAAATTCTGAAATTATCTCCTTAATTTCTGCAATACTTAGATAATTGTAAAGTAAGTTTTAAGTGTGATTTGACTGTTTTTGAGTTCGTTGTAAACTGGAGTTTGAAGTACCATGCGCTACACTAATGTGGCTTAGTAAGTTTATCTTTGAAGAAAACAATCATATACCTAGAATACAAGGAGAAGATAATTCAGTGAATTCGAATATAATTTGATTTCATCTTTTATTTTAATAGTAAGATAAAATTCTCAATGTGAATAAGTACAAGCAAGGGGGGTTAGGTTTTACCTTATCAATCTTAATGAGGTAACAAACCTCTACTAATTAACAAGCATGAAGAAAATAAAAGTTAGAGAAAACTAAGTATTCTAGGATCATCACATAGTTTATTATACACTTTATGATGATATAACAAATAAAGATACTTAAATAATGCAAAAATATATACGTCAAGAAGAAGGTTGAGTTATCAACTTATATATATATATATATATATATATATATATACTAGTTTTGACGCAGGTGCGTTGCACGTGAATATCAAATCATGTATTACATTTAAAATAATATGAATATTATTAAATTAAAAAATTAAATAAACAATTATAAAATGTATGATAAAGTATAAGTTCCTATGAATAGTGGATGTAAGCTTTTTATGATTGCTACTCAAAGTTAGTAACTTTTTAAAATCTTTTAGTTACACCCTCCTCTTAAATATACTTTCTCCTCCCTCCCCAATAGTGCATTACTTAGTTATTATTGTATTGTTGGAGTTCTTACTTTTAATATAAATAAATATTGATGTAAAATATAAAAGATATACTAAATTGGATATTTTTAGTTGGAGTGTTATATTAATTAACATTCATGTTAGGAAGTATCAAATTTCATTAAACTTTGAGATTGTCAACGTCTGAAAATCAAACGTGAGTTTTTAAGAATAGAAGAATAGAACCATAAAATAAATCGTAGTTTTAAAATGTGAAGAAACCCCTTCATATATAGTTAACAAAGGGTAGTATGAGAATGTGCATATTGTTTCTTATCAGAAAAGTCACAACCATTTGGAAAGGTCACAACTCATCAAAAAAGTTAAAACTCTTTGGAAAAGTCGTAACCATTCAATGTGAAATGGTTTCTTCTTTTAATATAATATAACATAAATGAATAAGTAAATATATAAAATATAGAAGATATGCTAAATTGGATGTTCTAAGAAAAAGAACAACAATGAAAAACTTCAAAAAATTATAGTTTAAAAATTTGAGGAAACCTCTCTTTTTATAGCCAATTAAGGGCAGTGCATAAAAAATGCTTATTGTTATAAAAAAAAAAGTGTCACAATCCTTTAGAAAAGTCACAACCGTTCAAAAAAGTCATAACTGTTTGGAAATGTCACAACCCTTCGAAAAAGTCACAACTCTTCGGAAAATTCGCAACCCTATAGAAAAGTCACAACCCTTCGAAAAGGTCACAACTCATCGAAAAAGTTATAACTCTTTGGAAATGTCACAACCCTTCAATATGAAAAGGTGCACGTTTTTAATATAATATAATATTATATAATATAAATAAGTAAAATACAATATTAAATAAATAAGATATACTTATTTGGTGTTTTAAGTTGGTGGTATTATAATAATTTATCATTTAAGTTATGTAGTTCATTCTTTTAAGTTTGTATCAAAGCAAAAAAAAATAGATATAGATTTGTCTAATTTTAATTTGATATGAAATTTTTTTTAAAAAAAAAGACTTTTAATTTAAGGATATATATAATATATACAAATGTCTTTTAACTTTGTGGTTTTAAAGATGCACCCCAACCACCAAGAAAAAAGAACATTCATATTAAACTAAATAAAAATAAAAGTACACCAAATAAATTGGAAATGGAGGAGTACTTATAAAATCTAGTTTGGACTCTTAAAACAAGTTTTTGATCAAATCTTTTTTCTCCAACAGTTTGAGACTTTTCACAGCTTGAACATCAAGTTGTAGTTTGTGCACCAGAAAATCATTGAACTTCTTATCAAGTAGAAGTTGTTGGTAAAATATATTTATGGCAATGAAAATGAGTACATATTTGAACTCTTCACACAAGTTTTTGATCAAATCATTTTTCCAACAGTTTGAGACTTTTCACAACTTGAACACCAAATTGTAGTTTGTGCAACAGAAAATCATTGAACTTCTTGTCAAGTAGAAGTTGTTCAAAAATATATTTATGGCTATGAAAATGAGTACATATTAGTTATCTATAAAGACTTCTAGTTTGAAGTTGAGTTATTCCATTCTCCTTGTTGCATCAATTTTTGTTGATCTATCTAATTTTGCCACAGAAAATATTGTAATTGCATAATTGAACTACCATCACAATCTTCCTTGTGTTAAGAAGAAGAATAGAAAACTTACAAAATTCAAAGTGTGAGAAAACCCCCATATTTATAGACAACAAAGGATAGTATGAAAAAGTGCTTATCGTGCCGTATCAGATAAGTCACAATCCTTCAGAAAAATTACAACTTTTCGAAAATGTCATAACTCATCGAAAAAGTCACAACTCTATAAAAAAAGTTACAATCCTTCGGAAAAGTCACTACCATCAATGTTAAAAAGTGTCATCTTTTAATATGATATAGAATAAATAAATAAATAAATAT